CTACAGTATCATTGGTACATAGCGTTGTGAAGACAAGCCTTTGCTTACCCTTCGTTTCAGCAGTCTTTTTTTCCATGCTTCTCTACGCTTTCCCAGGCGAGGTTCTCTTTCCTCAGCAGTCTCCTCGAGCAAACGTTGTCGTCTTCGCTCCCTCCTTTTCGCTAGACGTTCGGCTTACTTGTCGTTTCCTTGCCGCTTTTCATTTGACTCCATATCTTTTCAATTGGTATTTGATACCGTAATTGTTTTATTAAACTTTTTATAGAACAAATTGCTTTGAAAGCTGTCAAAGTTTTTTGCAAACGTACAAAATACTGTAGTGTAAAAAGCAAATTATTTTCATGAAGTATCTGTCAGTTTGTCATACAACAACAAATTTTAAATTTGACCAATCAGTCACAGAATAGGAAGTTATACCAGAAGCGTAACTCGAGCAAATATTTGTCCGCGTTTTTACAAGCGATTCGTCATCAATCACGCCATCCTGGCTAGTACAACCGGCACTTTGTACCTACCAAATCCTGATAAAAACTTCCGGCTGTACTAGCCAGGATGGCGTGGCCTGACGTGAGCGAGTTAAAAATTTTCGTGGACGTCAAACAATAAGGGAAACGACTAGAGTTACGCTTCTGGTATAACTTCCTATTCTGTGAATCAGTGTTGGCTATCCATGACCGAGATTTACTGGGTGCGAGTCAAGATGGCGGCAAATTTTTGAACTCGTTACTTTTGTACAAATATTACACTTTATTTTTGTATTTATACATGTGTTTGTACATTTTTTTGTTGTTAATAATGAGCCAAACTACTGCACTAACTACAGAAGCACTTACTATGATCCTTGATAAGAAAATAGAGGAAAATCTGAGACCATTTCATCAAGCAATGGACGATTTAAAGCAGAGTGTGAATTTTGTAAGTAAGAAATTTGATTCTCTGACCATGAGAGTCTCAGAGATGGAAGGAAAGTGTGAGGAAGCTCTAACGGAAAATAAATTTCTTAAAGCAGAAATATTACGACTTTCCAATGTTGTTAAACAACAAAGCGAAGATATAAGCAATATTGAACAATACAGTCGACGCGATTGTGTAGAAATAAGTGGCCCACTGGAAGAATCAGACGAAGATACAAATGCACTAACAATCAAAGTTGGCTCTCTTATGGGTTTGAAAATCAATGAGAGTGATATCTCTGTAAGCCATCGTCTTCCACTGAAACGTCAGTCTCAAAGTTATTCCTCAAGATTAAGGCCAAGAGCTGGGGCTGTATTAAATACTGTTGATCAACATCCAAAAATTATTGTCAAATTTGTAAGAAGAGACACAAAGGACCTATTTTATGGCGGTAGAAGGCATTTAAATTAAAAGATAAATCTACTCGAGATATTGGTCTTTCAAGAACATCAGTTAATCACATTTATATATCTGAAAGCCTCACCCCAAGAAACAGAGCACTATTTAATGAATGCTCAAAGTTTAAGAAAGAGCATAATTACAAGTACATATGGTCCCAAAAATGGTCGCACTTATCTAAGAAAAAATGGAGATGAACCTGCAAATGTTATATCTTGCAACCAAGATCTAATTGGTTTACCAAGATAAGTATCTGAACTTTTCTCATGTTGGGTGAACTATAAAATTTACCTAGGCTTGAACTAACTTACTAACTAAATAATAATTTATTTGGTCAAGTTAATTGTGACTATTACTCAATCGATGAATTTAAAAATAGTGAGGGCATAGATAAACTAACCTCTAAGTCCAAGTCCTTTTCTGTTATACACTTTAATGTAAGAAGCTTATCAGCTAATCATGATGCTTTTTCATTTCTACTATCTGATCTTAAACATATTTTTAACATTATTGGTCTCAGTGAAATTAAGTTTACTTTGAATAAGGAACCTACTGCCAATATAAATATTGCTGGGTATAACTTTATATCCCAACCTAGTTATTCAAATGCAGGTGGAGTTGGTTTCTATATTAGAAAAGACTGTGAATATCATTTTCGTGACGATTTCTGCAATACAACCACAGATTTTGAATGTTTATCGATAGAGCTTCATAATGCAAACCAAAGCAATCTAGTCTGTTCAGTAATTTACAGACATCCTAATAGTAAACTAGAAAATTTTATTAATTATTTTACAAAAATAATGGAAAAATCTCAAATGAAAAAAAATATTGCATAATAATGGGTGATTTTAATATTAATTTACTAAATTATGAATCACATCCTTCAACGCATGAATTTCTTGGTAATCTGGGACCATACTGTTTTCAGCCGAATATAACTCAACCAACTCGAATAACTGATCATTCAGCAACCTTAATTGATAATATTTATTTTAACTCTATTGAACTTGAGACATTAAGTGGAAATTTAATTTGTGATATAACTGACCATTTTCCTAATTTTCTAATAATTAATAAGTTTGCTTGTACTTCCTCTAATCCCACAATTTATCGAAGATATTATTCTAATTTTAATGAAGAAATACTTTTGGAGGAAGTGCGGCAGGTTAATTGGGAGGATGTTCTGCCTGAAACTGAAGATGTGAATCTTACGTTCGAATCATTTCACAATAAATTATCCGATATTATTAATAGGCATGCACCTCTGCATAAATTATCAAAGAAAGAAATTCGGATATTAGCCAAACCTTGGATTACAAATGGAATTAGAGTTTCTATTGCTAAAAAGAATAAACTTTATGAATTGTATATTAAATCTAAAAATGATTATTATTTTTCTAAGTTTAAAACTTATAGAAATAAACTAAAACATCTTATACTTGTTGGCAAAAAATCCCATTATAATAAATATTTTGCAAATAATAAATATAATATAAAAAATACCTGGAAAGGTATTAAACAGCTGATAACACTAAAACATCAGCCTTATGTAGTTCCAAATTTATTGGAAGTAGAAAATTTAAAACTGACTAATCCAAAATCAATTGCTAATGCCTTTAACAACTATTTTTCTAATATTGGTTCAAATATAGCTAATACCATACCCATAATAGATATTTCATTTGAGAAATTTCTTAACAAATCATTATGTCATAGTTTTTTCCTATCTCCTGTAAGCACTTTGGAAGTGGAAGAGGAAATTAGTAATCTTAATCCATCTAAGTCTGTTGGGCCATTTAGTATTCCTACTAAATTGTTAAAAATTTTGGGATTTCTCTTATCTGGCCCACTTGCTTATCTCTTTAATTGCTCATTTCTAACAGGGGTTGTGCCTGATCAATTTAAATTAGCTAGAGTGATACCAATCTATAAGAAAAGTTCTAAGTTGGTCGTATCAAGTTATCGACCTATTTCATTACTCTCAGTTTTTAACAAAATTTTAGAAAAATTAATGTATAAGAGACTTGTAATGTTTCTAGAAAAGAACCAAGTAATTTTTCAAGGCCAATTTGGTTTCCGTTCAAACCACTCTACAACACATGCCATCTTACTTATTGCAGATAAAATTCAAAAAGCAGTAGAAAACAAAATGTACTCATGTGGTATCTTTCTTGATTTGAGTAAAGCTTTCGATACTGTAAATCATACAATATTACTCAAAAAACTTGAAAACAGTGGAATACGAGGAATAGTACAAAAATGGTTTTTATCTTATCTTTCGAACAGAAAGCAGTATGTCTCGATTGGGAATGTAATATCTGAACAAAAGCCTATAACTTGTGGAGTTCCACAAGGTTCAGTTTTAGGCCCTTTATTATTTTTGTTATATATCAATGATTTTAACAATTCTGCTCCAAAACTTAAGTTTCATTTATTTGCAGATGATTCAAACTTATTTTATTCTGATAATAATCTTCAAAATTTAGAAAGAATAGTAAATGAGCAATTAATTTTGGTTGGCAAGTGGTTATGTGCTAATAAACTCTCAATAAATATTGAAAAATCAAACTTTGTCCTTTTTCATTCACCACAAAAGAAAGTTAATTACTCAATGAATTTGAAAATTCATGACAACAAAATGAAGGAGAAGAAAAGTATCAAATATCTTGGCGTAATTATAGATTGTAACTTGAACTGGAAGGATCATGTCTTTGAGTTATGCAAAATATATCCAAAGGTATTGGCATATTATTTAAACTTCGTGATTTTGTTTCAATTGATATACTCATTCAAGTTTATTACCCAGTAATCTACCCATTTCTTACGTACGCTGTCCTGGTATGGGGACATACATACAAAAGTAACTTGCACCCATTATTGATCCTGCAAAAGAAGGCTATGAGGATAATGACATTTTCCGGTTTCCGTGAGCACACTTCGCCAATATTTAAGGCATTAAACTTGCTAAAAATTCTGGATCTAGTTTATGTCAATACAGCATCATTCATGTTTCAGTATGGTTCGGGTAATCTCCCGGCTGATTTTTGTGTCTTTTTTACCTTGATTAAAAATATACAACCCGTTTAGCGTTTACAAATGCATATGCTATCCCACCAGTTCGTACAAATTACGGAATATTTAATATTAGATTTTGTGGACCTAAAGTTTGGAGCTCTGTCGATAAATCTTTGAAGTCTCTGTGTCTAAAAACCTTTAAAAGAAAACTTAAAGAACATATAATTGCTTCTTATTAATTCAAAAATTTAAAATGATGAATATATTTTGGCTCTTTTTTCTATATATTTTTTTCTATTCGTTTGCTATTTGTTGGTGTTTTGTTTCTTGTTTCTTGTTTGCTTTCCTATAAAATATTGCATAAAATTGACCAAACCCATTCACTTAGATTTTTTGTCTAATAAAGGTAACCTGACTCGTCTAGCCCTTATGGTTATTTCAGGTGACCTGTACTCATCAATTGTAATTATCTGAGTATACTAGTGTGTTGTTATTGTAATGTTCGAGTACAAATAAATGTATTTTGTTGTTGTTGTTGTTGTTGTTGTTGTTGTTGTTGTTGTTGTTGTTGTTGTTGTTGTTGTTGTTGTTGTTGTTGTTGTTGTTGTTGTTGTTGTTGTTGTTGTATACTATGGATTTCGTGGTGCAATTGCAAATTTCGTAGTATGGATTTCACTTTTTTTCCAGCTAGTGTTAACTGCCCCACACTCAAGTAACCACAAAGACTCACAGATGTTGCTTTGCAATATCCGTGAGTCAAAAATACAATCTGAACAAAATTTTTCACGAACGCAAAGGGCACTTTTGCCACCGGAAAGGGGGCACTTTTTAGGTTTTCTGAAAACTTGGAGGGGGGCTTGGCCCCCTTGCCTCCCCCCAGTTCCTATGCCCCTGATGCTAAATAAAGCAATATACGTCCGTTTACTGATTTTATTTTGCGCCTTTAGCACGGCGCAACGAATGATAAAATTGTTCAAATTAATGTCGAAGTTTGTGACCTATAATAGCCAGAAGTAATCGAGTATCCATGCAGTAAAGTTTTAACAAACATTGCTGCCCAGAAAATGATGGCTGAGAAGCAAGTGCCCTTTTGAAATGGCTGCCCCCGCCGCTTCACATTGCTTCCTGCGCCCCTGGCTGTGGCACATCTTCTAAAACGAAGTTATCCTTCAGAACTTCCCTACAAGATTCCATCTTCTGACAGCACCAAGCTTCGTGTGTATATTGTATATGTATTATCGCACAATCGCCGCATTTACACTTGTGAAATATGATACAGGTGAGGGTTTGATGTGACTGATGCCGCATCAAAAATATATCAGCCAGAGATACTTATTTTACGCTGTTAAAATGTTAAATAAATCTATGTTTACGCTCACCTTGATTTAATATCTTCAAGGCCGTCTAATCTTCGTTCTAGCATCTCGTTTTGTTCCTTGTGTTCCGCATAGTTTTAAATATCGCGCGTAGCTTTTATCGCGCGTAGCATTCTTTGCTCGCTAGCGGCTCATCGGCATAAAGACAATATGCATCATAATCGCCTAAAATTTCGCTATCAACTGCTTCTAGAGTTCCAATTTCGTAACTAGTATCATTTGATTCATCCTGTATAATATACCTAGGAATATAATTGTATTCTGAGTCACATTGAGAACCATGAGTGCTGGAACACATATGTCTTCCCAATAGCTTTTTAGTACTCCTTCACATGTGAATTCGAACTTCCGTCCCTTAAGCTACGTCACACGGCTCTCGCCCCAGATCCTTTTCCTTTTTTTTCTCGGACGTGACAATTTTTCGCTAAAAGCCAATTTTTCAAGGTTTAGAGCCTCATACCTCGCGAATGAAAAGAGAAAACCGAAAAATGTTAAAGAACCTATTAACTAACTTTTTGTCCTCTACCAAATATCAAAAAACATTTTTGTGACATAAGCACTTTAAAGGAATTTTATGGAAATCTGAGGAATTTTCGAGCTTTTCCTAAGGAATTCGAAAATTTGGTGGTGAGAGCACTGCCAAATTTGTAAAACAAATTCAAAAATCAAAACATGTATTGCAGCCAGACTTTTATATTTTCTGAAATTATCAGCCGGAATAGGGTTAATATTATATGATTGTTTGTGATGTTACTCTTAGTGTATATCCACACCGGGCAAGCTACGGTCTGTGGAATACTAGCCCAATGCTCTGGCAATATATGGTTTAGGTAAGCAAGTTTTAACATAGAGTTCCAAGTAAAAAATTTAGTTGACACGTTATTTCTAAGCTTAATTCGTATTAATGGTATAATTATTAATTGATATTAAATATTGGGAAAGTGTGGAATAATGACAACGCGCTGAATTGTGTTATATATAGCCTACGAATTTGTTAAACTAATTTTGACTGTTGACAAGTTGACAACCAACTTGGTTATCAGTACAATAGTCAAAATTAATAGTTTTATAACAAATGTGAACCGAGATTACCGAGTGCTCCTGTAGATCACTATTTTGACTTTTGTGTTCAATAATTCTCTTAGAGAGATTCACTATTTAAAAATTGTAAACATAGCTTTTGTCTTGAAGGTTCTATAACAATATATTCTGCACTGCACATGTGGTGGACTGTGGACACACACACTTCTGACTTGTTCAGATTTTTGTGTTGAACAATTAAGTCGCTTGGCAGTTTATGTTGCAGGTTGTATAGTATATAAAGAAAATATATGTGATATAGAACTGTAAATTCTCAAATATTTCCTTTGCCAACAAAATGGTTGTCAGAATTTTGTAACCCGGCCTTCAAATTACTTCACCATTTTGTTATAATTATTCCATTGCGAACAAAATGGGTGACTGAAATTCGGAGTCCCTTCTTGTACTCATTCCGCCATTTTGCTATATTCCAGTGCGAACAATCGGGTGTCTGAAATTCGGAGTCTCTTTTTGTGCTCATTCCGCCATTTTGTTACAATTATTCCATTGCGAACAATTTGGGTGTCTGAAATTCGGAGTCTCTTTTTTTGCTCATTCTGCCATTTTGTTATAATTATTCCATTGCGAACAAATTGGGTGTCTGAAATTCGGAGTCTCTTTTTGTGCTCATTCCGCCATTTTGCTATATTCCACTGCGAAAAAACCTGTTTACTTGCTGTTACTTTTACCATATATTCACTATGCAGTATTTTTTTGAAGACAGTAAAAATATGTTTATAAATAAGGGATTTTGAGGAAATCTTAAAGGTAAACATAAAATTCTGGGTTTTTTAAGGAAGGAAATTAACCTTTTCGCCAAATTCATTAATATTAATTGATTTTAAGTTGGAAATATATAAAGTTTGCAAAAATGTACAAAATCACTACTAAAAGCAGCAGTACATTTTTTATTCCGCAAAATTGAAATAAATTATTTTTACACATTTTTTTTACACATTTTTACCAAAAACGAATATATTTTGCAAATTTAGAGGAAAATTATAGTGATTTAATGTATTTGGTTAAATTGTGCAGAAAAATTAGTCAAATTCTGCAAAATTAAGGATGTTTTGTGTGGATTTAGTAGTTTGAAATTATTGAAAATAGTTTGGAACGCGTTTTACATTCTGTAAAGCCAAAAAACTTATCTTAAAATGAGATTTTTGCGTTTGTTATAAAAATGGAATTACAGAATGTTTTGTATTTTACTTATTGTTAGCCTATGTTCCACGCAACTACACAAAGCAATAGGCTATTTTAGAGTAAATTTCGTACGCGCGTGTGTTCCGCAGCAATAAACTATATGTCACCAAAACTAGCATAATTTGAAAGAAGAAACATTAAAATATTTGAACATCCCGATAAAACCTAAAAATACGAAATATAAAAATGTCAAACTGTTATACACCTGAAGTTTTTGAAAACTGTATCAAGCCACCTTGAAAACGTTCTATGTTCTTTCTTGTAGTTATGGTGTGAAAAGTATAGGAAAGACAAAATTAAAAGCATTATGGACAGTGACTCACATTCTCTTCATCCTGTCAGGTGAGAACGCTGCAGTGCTTCAAAATTTAAGTTTATTTAATTTAGTTTATTTAATTTTTAGTGCCAATCATCCTTTCTTGCAGCTTAGAGCTAAATTGAATTGTGAAGGACGCAGCTCGACCTTATCGAGTTGTAGGATTTTTAAGGGCATCTCTGGTTAAGGGTGTCTCTGGTTAATGGCGTGTCTGGTTAAGAACGCGCGTCTCTGGTTAACGGCGCCTCTGGTAGCCATCTTATGACTCATGTCTGATTATCGAGCACAACTACGGTGGAAGGGTCAGTTGCAGGCTTATCCCAACCCACCCTGTCAACATTCCCTGTGAGAGAAAATCGGAGTACCTGGGGAAAACCAACGACGCCCTGTAGATGACTCAGCAGCGAGAATCAATCCCACGATCTCAGAGGTGAAAGGTCTTGCTTTGACGGTTGCGCCATCGTGGAGGTCCTTAATGTTTTAATTTTTGTTTTCTTTTGGCACAAAAATAGTACCTCGTCAGTGGCGCTGCCAAAATTTTATGTGTTTTTTTTTGGGGGGGGAGGGACAACTTAGTACTTAGTGAAGTCACAATTCTAGAGAGTTCGGGGGCGTGCTCCTCCCTTCTCATTCAACATTATGGGCTGATTTCCATGACAGATGTGCTGGCTAATTGTTACAATTTTAAGACTGGTTTACTAATGCATGCAAACTATTATCATATAAATGCTATTAAATATTCACTTAACTAAACTACTTAATTTAATAATTGGGAGGCCGAGGGCGAGGAGAAAAGGTTTTTACAAAACGAGTTGTAAGATATCGAATTTCGAATATTTTCTGGTATTCTATTCCATAATTTAGCCCCACTGTAACTGAAACTTTTTTAAAAAAATTCTGTCCTGGGCCTTGGAATAAAAAGCCCAGGAAAAAAATTATCTGAAACGGCATTGCGGAGAAACCTGGAGAAAAATGTAAAGATATTCATAAATCACCTTTTAACAGTGTCAAACATTGATTTCGGAAGACTTGACAATTTTCCATGATCCTCGAATTTGAACGAGAGTAAAACTACACTCTTAAAAATGGGGTGGGGGCGCCACTCTACGTCTATATTTCAATATAAGCGCAGTTGCGCGAAGTGTTGATCCAGACACATCAAGGTCACTACAATCTGGAGGAAAAATTATTGAGACATCCTATTCGCAACCCACTTCCCCCCAAAACAATGTTGTTTTCATGATACCAAACCACAGTGTCGGCTGAAACGATTCACCCAACATTGTCAATGGGGGAGGGGGGAAATAGTAAGAAAAGATCGAATTATATGAGTGTAGATGTGTCAAAATGAAAAAAAAATGTTTGAAATACGTAAAGTCTCATTATTTTTGCACGTGATTGTAGGCCTTAATGACATTGCGTCAAATTAGTTGCGTAACAATGAACGTGCGCGCCAATTGGCCATAATTGAATTTGATCCTCCTAGCGCAGACGTACATTACTACAGAGAGTACATTATTTGAATTTGTTGTCGTTGGTTAGTTTCAAAAAGTGGGACGAGTGAAGATCAATAAATGTTTTTCCACTTCATTTGTGTTTGCAGGATGTGGAACCAAATGTCGGACGAATGTTGTGCAAGCTATTTCCGGACGACGAAAATGTCAAATTGGGAAGTAAGCGTCGATCAAGTCGAGAACAAGAGCACAAGAGAGTGGATCAAGGGTCACCTAGGTTAGAATTTGCATCATTCTGGGTCATATCGAGAAGTTCTTAAGGTTTCTGTGTGTTTACGGTAAAGGAGCCTACATGGGTTTGTTTTCTGTGGTCATTGAGAGAAATATCCTGTTTACAGAGGAGTATACAAATATCCGCTTATCTTTTATTTTGATTATTCTCGATTTAGGTTGTTGCATTTTTACGGCATGACATTTGAAAGAATGAACTAAGAACTATTATTCCGTGAAAATGCTACTACATATACGAAGTGGACATTGCACCACAGGCTTATTGCGCGACTCACTAGGTCTTCGTAGGGAGAGGGTAATTGAGCTAGCAGCAAAGAGACAATCTTACATACATTTATCCAGGGACAGAAAATATTGCGGTATAACGGGTTTTACAAAGCCAGTAGGTGATCAGTTTGTTTACAGGTATAGAATTGAGGAGGAAACCAGCATTTGATCATTTGGCTCTATCCACCGTACTGGCAGATTTTAATAATTATTTAAAGAAGCGTTATATCTTACTTAATGGCTGTTTACGTGCTGGGCCGAATATATTACTGGTGTCGCTAGTGAATGCTGAATATTTACGGTATTTGCGTTGATAGAAGACTGGTTGACAATGGTTTATTTTGGCTATGGAGAAAAGTATACAATGTAAAGTCAGAAATTGTGGTGGATGTCTTGTAAAGTTAAAGATTACGTTGCTTATTGGTTTTCAAGGAAGCACTTTTATGTCATCAAAACTGCCCAACCGCATTGATGAAAAATTCGATTTTTCAGTGATTGAAGTTTACAATCCGACGTTTCGATAATATGTGCGGTTTCAGTATTGCTCTAGCTCAATCTTATGAACTTTTACCCTTAATGCTAATCCTATTTTGCTGCCCGTTATTGATGCTTAAATAATACGAACTTATGAACTTATGTTTTCACATGCGGTAGGCACTAATGTCTATCGAAGAGCGATAAAAAGAACTGATAATTTGCCATGCAATTTGAGAACATTACCGGGTTAAAACGCCTACGAGAATGTGTCAAGGTAGCAAAGGACATCAGTGAACTTCTAATTTTACAATGAACCTACATTTCGTATCTCTTGGTGACGATCCTCACTATCCAAGAGGAACGTTCTGGTGAAGATATAACCAACCCGGCATCTGGTAAACGTATGTTGATTACACATTGAAGTCTGGTGATATCCTATTAGCCGTAGATATTAATGACTCAGATTACTATCTATCAGACTTCAATGTGGTGATGGGATTTAACATATCCAAATCAAACCAAAGTGGTGCATCATTTGCTTTGGTTAGAATTTCGAATATAGAACCCGTATTTAAAATGTTCCAGATTTTAAGGAATATTTTTTGTTTTGAAATTCAAATTTGACTACGTACATTCATGGGAAGTTTTTAAACTGAGTCGAGTTATGTATCTCTGAAATGGTTATCTCTGAAAGTGTACTGTACATTGACTTGAAAACAGTAATGAACTTACTTATCTTACAAAAGCTTGCTTGCTTTTCGAATAGTTACATTGTTGTACATCTGAGGCATGCGCACTTTCGTTCGATTTGGATATGTCGCATAATGTTATAGAAGCTACAAGGCATATTATGCAGTGTTGGGGGTGATCGCACTGAAAAACATCGTCATTCTTCCGAGAATGTGACGGAAAATACAACTGGTGAGCCATTTCATTAGCTTGTCATAGTTAAAGAAGCTCTTTAAAATGCGAAGATTAAAAACTCTGTGCAATTAGTAAAAACTAAAACAGTAAAATACACAACATTTCACCATTTTATCTTTCTGACAATTAGATGATTGAAATGCAAAAATTAACTCTGGAATGAATAAATCTGCGGTTATTTTTTTGCGTTTGTTATCCTTTGATTCGTTTGTGCTGGTCACCCTATACATGTGTATAGACCTGTGTCTTATATATAGTTTTTGTTGTGTTGTGTGTTTATTTCATACTTGTGATTTTAGCAGGAGGCGATCTCGCAGGCATTCATCCCCATCATCTCACCGCCGCAAAAGAAGACGCCGCGACAGAGGTAGGGGACATCCACAACATTTTCCCTTGTTCACATGTGACAGGGGCGAAGTTAGGGCTAACTGGACGAAACTCGTAAATCCTGCAAATTGCAGGATGAATTTTTTTGTTTCATTCGCATGATACATCAGCGAGGTTGTGGTTCGTTCTGCTTCCCGGCATTTGGTTCCGTTGGGAAAATGTCTTTGTGGAATTAACAAACTAATGTTACAGAATGTAGTGGGTTTTTTTTTTCAAAACTAACGAGATGAACGTGAATGATGTAATTTATTTCCGTGATACTAACGTATGTTGCTATTCTGTTAAAAATAGAAGGAAGACATCGTTCAAGAGAACGCTACGATAGTTTAGGTTTAATAGATCCTAGGTACGTAACATCAGGCAAATTTGGTACGCAAATTGCCCACTGCAATATTTATCTACATTTTTTAAAAGATGTAATATGTTGTTTTTATTGTCATTCTGATCGGAATGCATTGTTTCGTACCGAAATAAAAGTGAAAAGAAACCGTCTTTCAAAAGTGTAAATAAACATAGAAGATGGCAGTTTGCGTACTAAGCTACGAAGGTCTATTTTCCTATCGAATGATAATGTTAATAGAGCTATAAACTTTACTGTCCAGGTTTACTCATTCCGATACTCCTCGATAGATTTGCGGTTCTGGTAGTAAACATTTATTTCCCTGTTTCACTTCGCCGGACTCACCGAACCTGCAAGTACGTTTGGTTTTTATCCCATACACCGAGCCATACACACATTTGTAGCTCTTCGCGATATATTCGTCGATGTTTTGTGAACATTTTCCCGGCCAAAAAAATCACTGGGCAAGAAAATACTTCTTAATCTACGTCTACATTACCTTTACTGCATTTTTTCTTTGGTTTTTCTTCAGTCTCAGTATGTTAGCCACCGAAAAAAGTTCTTTAAAGTTTAGGTTTATCGGCTAAATCTTGTCCGCCATATTTGTTATTGTTATTGCAACGTAAGCAGTTTAGCGGGTGAGTTCGGGCGAAAAGCAGGTGAGTTCGGCAAAAAGCAGGTGAGCTCGACGACAAGCTCACCTGCTCTAAACCAATCAGAAAGCCGCTTTTAACACAGGTATGGGATAATACAATAACCAACTTTAGATGGATGGCCTTGCCTATGTCTACCAGCCTATAAATACTATTACACTGGGGCTCACGCACACGAAGCATTGCACAACTTGTAGGAAAGTCAAGTAGATCTCTAGAAAAATAAGCTTTTTCTTATTGTGTTAAATTCATTATTTATTCCAATTTTTCGTGCTTGCAGGAGTCGTTATGGCGTTAGAAAGGAGACTTTAATACATGGGGTAAGTTTGTCTCGATACATTATGACGTACAGTATGGCTTAAGGCCCATGCAGACCGGGTGCGATTTGGCGACGCGAATTTTCACTGACATTTAACTTTAATATTTTTCTATGTTTTTCAAATATTCGGAACCACTTAAGCAATTTTAGGTATTTGGTCTGCATAATTTGTAAAATTTTCATCCATGGACGGTTTTATTTGTTTTTAAGAACTTAAAATTTGCGTCGCGTTGTCGAATCGCGTTCGGTTTTTATAGGCCTTTATAGGTCCATACACACCGGACGCGATTCGACAACGCGACGCGATTTATTAGTTTTTGAAAGTTAATAAAACAGCCAATGAGAGCAAATTTTAAAAGATATGGTAGACCAAATAACTCAAAATGTTCTAACGCTTCTAAATATTTGGAAAATTTAAACTAGGATGAAAGTTATCGTTCAGTGAAAATCATAAAAATCGCGTCGCGTTGTCGAATCGCGTCCGGTGTGTATGGACCTTCAACTTTAAGCTGTTGCGAAAATGCATCTAGAGCTATAGAAATTGGAATATAAATAATTATAGTATTTATTATTAGCACGACAAAATTACTGATTCAATGAGAGGAGTACAATTATTTCTGCAGTATACAATTAATGATTTTCCCAAAACAAACAAAATGGCGGAAAGGTATTTAAACACAAATGAAATTGCCCTAGTGGAACGTAAAGCAAAAGAACTAAATGAAACTGCGAACAAAAGCACCAAATTTTGGCTGAAAGTCTTGCAGGCTTTGGCGAGAGAATATGATGTTGGCACCATAGATATCTTATATATACACTAGATAGCGCATCTCTTTTAGTAAAATTGAAGCCAAGAATATTCCAGCGGTTACCCCCATTTGAATAGACGGCGGCCATGTTGGAGTTTCCCACTCGCTAGTAAACGCTTAAAAAACAACAATAACTTTCATCATTTGAATAGTTGAAAATGTATTTGGAATAGGTTTAACTTCATGTTTAAGTTCCCTGTTTAAGAAATAGAAAACATACGAGACTTTTCATTTCTTGGGAATATCCTGAGTCTGCAATCACGGCTTCAATTTTTGAATTGCAGAATAATTAGATGCACTATCTAGTGTATATAAGATATCTATGGTTGACACTGAAAGTTATCCAATTTTGTCATGCTAATAATAAACAAGTAATCGGCAGCTCGTCCAATTTTGGCAAAATTCCAAACATAACAAGTGCGTACTATTAATCCCTAATTATACGAACAACATCGCATGATTATACCTATACTAACTAGAAATACATGCATGCACCAACCCCTCGCCTCGCCCTTTCATAACAGAGCAACTATAATTCCAAACTATTGTTTCAACATGTTATTTCATGACTGGAAACAACAGTAATTGCTTTGGTAACATGAAAATAAATAGTTTTAATTTTGTAAACTACAAAATTCTTAAATTCAACAAAAAGGCAGAAGAGTTAAAATCTTTAACTACAGAATCATTGACTTTCAAATTATAGATTTTAGAGTGTAGATTGTACTGTTATGCCTTTATTTGGCGTTCTATAGGATTCATTTTAATGTAAAATTAATTCATTTTATTTAATGCCACTTTATGTCAGGTAAAACGTTTCAAAACTTTGATAATCGGGTTCTGAGGCTAGGGAGCCCATAAACAGTGTTGTCGACAAACGGCTTGCTCGACAATACGGTAAAAATATATCGGCTTTAGGCACTAGCTTTTATGTGAATTAGATATCGGTTAAGTCACGAAACCCACACAAAGCAAGTACGGTATAGAATTTTACTGCTGAAATCGAGACTGAAATGTTTGTCACTGGAAGTATGAAAATACTATGTTTGTGTAGTGACTACGTTTCTATGACGTCACGGACATGATACGTCACTAGGACATAGGAGACATGAGCACGAAATGTGCTCGGACAAGGGATCAGTTTTGGAGATTGTGAGCGAAGTAGTTTGTATTAAATATTATAGTTAGACAATAAAAGATAAAACTCGACAGTTTGTACTCGACAAAATTCGTGTTTGTTGCCTTTGTTGACACTACTTGACAGCCACAAACCCATGAAATTCGCTTGGACCTTGCTTCCCGCATTTTCAGCAAAATCCCAAGACGTAGCTGTACACTTTAACAACCGATACTGCCCACTGGCGTTTCTTTTTCAAGTACTTTTCGTCTCTTCCCTTCATTTCGCGAGCCTTCCTGCGCTTGTTCATATTCATCTTGCCTCTTTTTATTCTCACCACTCGGCTTTTTTTAGAATGTCGTTGTTTTATTAAGCATTGGCGAATCTTTCTTTGCAAAATTTTGTTCAGTGTGAAAGTATAAAATTTTGCAAAATGACAATTACCGTATTTACTCGTGAGCGCCGCCCTCGAATAAGCGCCGCACTTATTCACAACGCGGCTCATAATCGAAGCACCGTCTAAAAAATTGTTTGCGATGCCCAACCGCGGAAAAAAAACACCTTTGGTACGAAGTTGAATCTTTAACAAGACACGTTTTTCTCCTGCATTTCAGTGTTTTTATGATATATTTTGTTGTTAATATTTCATATTAGCGCTTACAAATAAAATACTTTGTGAAGAACGCCGCCCTCGAACAATTGCCGGCCTCAAATAAACGCCGCATCCGCAACACTAAAAATTTAAAGAGCGCCGCGTCGCTTAAACGAGTAAATACGGTAAACTTGTGACGTGATATAAGAAAAACAGAATCTTTATCTTAGCCAATCACGAGCTTGATATGTACCAGTCCACTGTCGGTTTGTACATGAGCATAACGACGAAAACCGTCCAACGTCCATTACATAATGGAGGGTGCATGACTATGCACTTCGCTATGTTCTTACATACCCGGGAAAAAATAGCCGAACGGAATTAGTACCCTCGTCCCGAGCTTACTCCCGAAGCGCCGTTGGCTCGGTGACAAATACAGTAATAATAAGTGTTATATTTAATATGCAATTAAAGACTATAATTTGGAGAACGCATGCAGACATTCTCAAAAATATTTAAAACTGAAAGTTTTAAATTTTCGAAAGATTTAATTGCAGAAATATTTGTGAGCAAACATCGCCATTCGCCTCTTTCGTCGGTATATTTTGTAAATTGATAAAGGGTTCATAATTGAAAAGCACACTTCTGTAGAAATGCAGACAACAATTTATTGTTATATATTTATCTATTTTAGAGTTACTCTGACTACGTTCGAGAATTCCATCGGTCAAGGCAACCTTCATCCGCCTTTCCACCTTATGGTCGAGTAAGTAAATTTTAGTGTACGCATGAAAAATACGTTGGATAAGAATACGCTAGAGAAACGTTTCCCAGTCGATCACACAATTGAGCTATTTGGTTATGGACACTCGCGAGTGAGATTTGATTCGCGTCCCGGTCCAACAAGATTTGATGAGAGTTGACCGGACATTACGGTCAAACGAGCAAAAACTCCCAATCGCATCAACATTTGAACCAGCTGAAAGTTGATGAGAGAAAATATTGCAATAGCACAGTAGTTTCTACTTTTAGCTGTTGCTAAGTGGTAGTCGGTAAAAACGTTAACTAAGAAGTACTAGGTTGCCCTAGGATATCCTTAACTTCCCAAAACATAATTAAAAATGGCGACCTTAGGATTGAGCAACTTTTGTCACCAAAATAACATTGAGATGCAACTGTTACGTAGGGATCGCCATCATCCCCAGGACGGTTTCTGAGATATTTATGAACTTTCAAAACGCTGTCGCTTTGTATGTCCAAGCAACTACCAAATATTGTTCGTAGCAGGACCTATATCGAAGACGAAGTGAGACCCGTGACAAAGGAATCGTGCCATTTCTACTGTTGATTTTTGCACTTTGATGACTTATCACAGAAAATGCACCTTCTTTATTCACTTTATGACTTGCTGTCCACAATCTGTTTAAAATGCTTAGTTTTTCCAGTTTTGGTAGATGGCGGACACTTTTTAACGCCAATTTCGTAGATCTCTTAAAATATGGGTATTTTGCCTCTAAATTGTACACGCGACCCAACAATCATCCGCGAGAAAAACAATCGTTTGTACAGAACTACATTTATAATCGACATAAACCGTCCCGAAACGAAACAAACGTCGAGCAATTTTAGACTTTGTACATCCACTTTCTAAGTCCTTAGTTTTAGTAAAATTATCTTAATGTCTCACTAAAGTTTTTTTTGTTGTCTTGAATGCTTTGGGTAAATTTTCTGAAAAAATAGTTCTAAAAAATAACATTTAATTTGATATGGTCCTCGGATTCCCATGCAGTCCTCAGAAATTCCCTATGAAATTCCTTAAAAGTTAGTTTCCTCAAAGAAATTTTATTGTGGACTTCGTGCTGATCCTCTTTTGATCTTCCCATTTCTGACAAACCTTCCATATTACGTCTCACATAGCCCGCATGCAGGCCCAAGGGAAGAATAGTGGGCCTGCAAGCAAGGCCCGGTATTTTGTAAAACGCCTCTTTTCATAACACGCCCCATTCGCGCGTCAATTGTCAAAAAAGAACCAATGACAGCAACCCAAATAGTAACAAACAAACTCGCATTAAAATGTTGCGGGGTTTTCTCTGCTTTAATATTCAAAATAGAAACAATGTGTAAATGGCTGTGTTTTAACTCCAAAAAACGCAAGCAACGCAGTCAGTAATTGCCAAATTTGCAAGTGCTCATTTTCAACTAAAATCGGAACAGGCAAATTAGGACGAATTTCAACAGAAAACCAGTCTCAAACTTCAAATCGTGAGGGAAGTCGTGCGACCACATTAGCATTAATGTGTGCTTCGCTGTCGCCATTGTTATAAATAAATTGTCTCACTTATCAGATCGTGTGTGCAATTCTTGTTGGCGGCCGAAAGTACGAAATTTATTTCAGTTATTTCATTTGGTAAAGAACTCTACAAAAGAAGAGAGGGTTCAGAGTCCAGATCGTTTCGTTTCAAACGGCAATTACCGTCTGGCGTCTTCTGTTTCGCTCTCTCAGCAAAGCCTTGCAAATCGCAAAGTGTTTCGAATAGACTTACATGCAACTGCCTCTAAATCTTCACTGCGAAAAGCGCTGTTTTCGTCAGTGCAAGAACAGAGTCAACATCAACGAAAAGATAATTTTCTTGAGGAACATATAACCACAGTTAACTGTGATATAACGTATCAAGTCTGTTTGAAATTAATGAAACTCAAGTAAAGGTTACTATAGTTTACCCGGCAGTCGTAATGTTGCTATTCCAACACTTCACACAAGCAATCCCCATTGGCATAACGGCAAAAACATCTCTTCCTTCAAGTAAGCAATAAACAGTCTGTTCTTGTTCCATTTTTAATCGAAAAAAGTGATCAATTTTCGAATTTTAAGCTTATCGAGAGCCTTTGTGGTGAATCAGTGATCTAATTATAGAACCATTAACAGCAAACAGCCAATCAGAATGCCGCGTTCGTGGGCGAACGCGGAAAGTACAAAATACCGGGCCTTTCTTGCAGGCCCACTATTCTTCCCTTGGGCCTGCACGCGGGCTACGTCTCACACTAACAAAACAACTTGAGATGACCAACGCTTACATGTGCAGTAGCCCCAGCGACCAACACTTAGCCCCATACCCAGCTAAATACGCGGTTAAGTAACTATGCCAGTAAACTGCATTTTGCACAACGTAGTTGAGTCATGTAGATAGTTAATTATTTAGCTGTGGTAACCATGTTAACTTGAAATTAAAATACAACCTGCCCCTGCTGGATAATAAGGAATATTTGGCCTAGCAACAAGCCAAAAACATTGAGGAACAATGGAACAATTTTTGCAATCCTACTGATTTTCTGTTTGAGATTGACATGAAATGTTTATTGTTCATATTAATATTGAAGACACTGTATAATTTCAAATTCAGAATCTAAATAATACGGGATTTCCCACGTTCTGAATACTTGGTAATATTCATGTTTTTCATGTTTTTTATAGATTGATCCATACGCTGTAGTTTATGCAACAGATTTCATGAGACACGAGCGACCACCTAGTTACAGTCGGAGAAGGCGATAGAATTGTGATCATCTCCATACGTCACACAATCATTTGATTGTCCCATTGATAGTTATACGATCGAATGCTAGACAAAGTCTCACAAACGTTTACTCTACTCGACTATTTACCGTCCTGCCGTTTTTACGTTCTATGAATTAGATAGGGTATAGTTGCTCCAGAACTGCCTGTTTATGTTTATATTTGAAATTTGAAGGCTGATTTCAATTCTTGTGAATCCTAGAGGTGATAACTTAAAGCAACATCGTATTCTTTGGGTACAATAGAGACTGGACATTGTGAACGTTTGTGATGTGTATTTTATGATGTACAGTGAAACTAAGGATTTTTATGATGATATACTTAAAGTTATTGCTGTAAGTTATTACAGGTCTTAACAAAGAATTGAGTAAAACAAATTTACTATTTTCATTTCAATGTGTTCTTTCAGAGGAATGATGCGAGTCACAAGACGCATCTCGCTGCCTGCGCTTGCATCTCAAAATGCACTCAAATAGGCCATTTCCAAATTATGGCCTAGTGACTAGTGTTATCAAGAACTATAGCGCCAAGTCGAAGCTTCGTGCTAAATAGGCAATTCGACCCTGATTCTGAAATGACCTATTAACAATTCCGTACATGGGCAAGTTTTTGTCAATGAGGAAGTTCTGTGTGAGTGCTGGGAAACGTAACCTCCTAGGCTCCTTCACATTTATCTCTAGGTGTTATCTTGTTTTCTAAGCCTGACACCGTGACCCCAATAGAGATACCTGCTGAGGAGTAATTACGTTAGGGTCGGACCGCTGCCCCCACCAAATTGCATATTTATAATCGTGCAAAATAAAACCTCCATGTGTATATGTCTCGTGGTTATGTTAGAGCAAGAGCTCTATTGTAAAGCTAGTGCGAATGACGTACAATACCTCCTATGAGTAATGTCGAAATATGTATGTTAATTTAAGAAGAATTTCGCCATGTTTCCTTGACCCTTGGATAGGTCGTAAAACCAGATAATACGGTCAACATCTTCATCAGTGATTTTTTCTGTGTTGGTGTTGTGTACTCACCGGGTTCGTAGCGGTCTTTGAAATCCTTGAAAGTCTTTAAATTTGAATGAAGGTCTTTGAAAAGTCTTTGCATTGTGTGAAAAAGCGAAGAAAGTCTTTAAAATTCTTTAGTAAGTATTTGATTTACGATTTTCTAGCTAATAAAATAGATTGATTGAGCAGGATTTTCGCAAATGTCGACGAAAAGGCGCATTTTAGGATGTGATTTGACGGGACCAATTATTGGGTAAATATGTTGCTTGCTCTTGCAATTTTTCAACAGCTGATTGCTCTCAAAGGTCTTTGAAAAGTCTTTGAAAATAGGCAGCAAAAATCTTTGAAAGTCTTTGAATTTTTTTGGTCTTGGAGACTACGAACCCTGACTCGGGTGAATATGATGTTTGTGATGTTGCTCTGAGTGTATATCCACACCGGGTAACTTGAAAAATATGCCTGGCCACGGTGGGAATCGAACCTACAACCTTTGGAATACTAGCCCAATGCTGCATGGGCTAGTATTCCAAAGGTCGTAGGTTCGATTCCCACCGTGGCCAGGCATATTTTTCAAGTTGCCCGGTGTGGATATACACTCAGAGTAACATCACAAACGTCATATTCACCTGAGTACACAACACAGAAAAAATCATATTACTAGATTGTAGAGGTGTGCAAATCCGATCGGATTCGTTCGGATTTCGGAACCAAAATATTCATATCGGATCGGATTGATAAAGTTGTTTCGTAGTCGGATTGGATTGGACTTCGATATCCGAAATAAAATGAATTAATTATCGCGGTTGTCGCTGCATTATTCGTTTGATACTTCAATGAGGGTCCTGAAGGGGGGGTCCCAATCCCATTTCCCACCTGAAATTTTGGCAAAATCCCAGTCCCAGTTGGATTTTTATTAGAAATCCCAGTCCCAGTTATTGAAATCCCAGTCAATAAAAAACCCTTTATTTATCGATAGGATAAACAGTTTTAAGACCTTTCAAAGCAAGTGGCGGACACTTTATGAAATATTAGGGGGGTTCGTGCCGAAGGCACGGAAAATTTTTAAATTTGAATCTTGGAAATGGCATTTGCAGCATTCTGAGACACGCATAATCAGAAAAACCAGAATTCCGGGCGCCAGAGTATACCTGTTCGCAGGTAGTGCTGTGAATAATATAGTTAACAACAAAAATCATGACCAAAGACACCAAAAACGGATCAAAATTGTATTTTAAAATACTCAAAACGCAGAAAAATGGGGAATCGACTAGCATTACCTCAATCCCATTCCCATTTTTGAGGACTTCATTTCCCATTCCCAGTGGCCAAATCCCAGTCCCAGCAACCCAAATCCCATTTTCCCAGTCTAAAAATAGATCGATCCCAGTTCCCATTTTACCCCTTCAGGGCCCTCTTCAATTGGACGTCACTTTGTCAGCTTCTTGACATGTATTTCTTGCTTTTATATTTATTTGGTTAAATATTTCAACTTGAATGAGAAATTTATTTTATTAAAGAATTCATCGGATCGGATTGGAATTATTTATCAAAGCTCGGATCGGATTCGGATTAGACAATTTCGGATCGGATTTTAAACATTAGGCAATTGTCGGATTATAAACGTCCAATCCGATGCACACCTCTACTAGATTGCATGATCGAAGAACTGGCTCAGTTCCGAAATATCACATACTCGAACCGACCTGGCCGTGTAGCTGGGTTGGCAGATCATATTGGGCTAGTATTAAAGGTCGTAGGTTCGATTCCCACCGTGGCCAAGCATGTTTTTCAAGTTGCCCGGTGTGGAGTGACATCACAAACATCTTCATCATTTTTAAATGCAGCATTGGAACATTTTTCATTTGAACCAATTACTTGAGCCTGAGTTTTGACTACGTAAGTGCACGCGGTCCCTTTTAACTGTGCTTTTATAAATACTTCAACTGCATGTTCCTGTTGCCTGTGCACACAACCTGAAATCAGGCTCTATTTCACAAATATAGCCTGACACAAACATTAATCCGATAGTTTTCTACTCACAGCAAAGTTTATATTTAGTATCCAATCAAAGTCGCAGGAGAAATTTCAATTTCACACTACGACAACAACAATCTAATTATAGTTGTGATCATTATAAAATATATCCACACTACTTAATGATCTAGCTTGCTATAGGAAGTTTTTAGTACTGAATAAAGACGGTCATGTTGGCGCATGTTTGCACCTACGCATCTCTGCAGGCGCTGCCTTTATAGTGGGCGGGCAAAATTTGGTTTCGGGCCAAAAAATTGTACCATCTCTGGATGGGGTAAAAATGATTATCAATTACTGGATGAGGTTGAGCAAAATCGGTGGCGAGCAGATCAATTATTTGCCGGAGGCAGAGGCAAATAATTGATCTGCGAGCCACCGACAAATCACGATATTTTGCGAGAACCGAGTTCAGTAATTGTTTTATCATTCACTTATAAATTTAATGATTGTTCAATAATTTTTTATCATTCACTTATTCACTTCTTTCTTGCTTCTGCATATAAAAACTTGCGAAGGACGTTGGCAAGAGTTTCTTTTGAGCCAACTAGATCTTCGTTGATTTGTCTTCTAAATACTGGCGAAAGACATTGACGGCGTTTTAGTCGCTTTTTGGTGTTTTCCGCGTTTTTTTCTTCAAGTAAGCAAGACAACTCATTTTCCGAAAGTTCAGCAAAGCGAGCCGCCATTGTTTACAAAAATTGAAGGCAATGCGCATGCTCAGACTTTTTTGTAGCTGAGCAACGTTTTCAACAAATGCGCATGCTCAGACTATTATTTGCACGCAGTTATTTGCAGGTAAATTAACCAATCAAAATTGAGAATACTATAAAGTGAATGATAATTTAATTTGTTTACTAGTTAAATTTCAGCACTTTATAACAAACAGTAAACAGATTTAGGAGTTCACCGTAACGTTTTTAATAGTATGAACGGTTAAAGTTTAGATCTTTCAAAACCAAATATATCTGCGGAAGAGGCCGAAATACGTAGCAAACTATCGATATGTCATTGACGATTTCAACTTGAAATTGGAATCCACCATTGATTCGTCTTTCGAGAAGAATACAGCTAATTCAACTCAGTGGCGTTGCCAACTCGGTAATTGGGGGGGGGGGGCGCGAATATTCATTTATTTGTGTTCACAGACCATAAAAACAGTCGATTTCAAACGAAGTTAATAATGCAGATTGCAGAACACGAAGATATGAATATTCGCCCCCCCCCTCCCAATTATTGAGCTGGCGGCGCCACTCAATTCAACTGAAGGTTGTCCTTTGAAAGTCTAAACCTTAAACTCTAAGCGTGCAAAGCATAATGGGAGCATCATTTAATCAGTTTATAAATCACATAATTTTATGGGGGTTATTTCTTCGAGACATTGTAAATATCTTACGAGAACAATTCATTCACAAATAGTTGCAATATTGAACTACTAAGAAACTTGTGCTCCCATTACATTAAGTTTGAGTTTAAGTTCAGAGTTTCCTTTTTTGAATCCAAACAGAATACAAAGCAAAACAAAAGGCTGATCCCTTGAACATCCAAGATAATATGTACTACAACTAAGTATTTTGATTTTCAATAGTTTATTATAAATAAATATTATCAGCTAATAAATAATAATTTACAAATATGTACATATTTACAAATCAGTGACAATATCAGACAATGACGTAGAGTTTTTAAGAATGCATACAATTTCCTAGTTAACTTCAAAGTTATTGATTTTATTTCCACTTTCCTGTCCAGCCCTGTATATAAAGCCAAAGCCCAAAGAAAGGGCTCGCCCTCGGAAGTTAAGTATTATTTTACATTTAAATTTAAATTGTGAAAGTTAACTTACATTTAAATCTAAATTATGGAATTTAAATAATATTTTACATTCTTGGCATCTTGCCTCTTGGACTTGGTTAACTGATGATTAAATAAATTTACCAAATTGAGCTCTTTCTCGATATATGCCCGCAACTTCATGCAAAACCACAACTGGTTCAGCATGCAGTGCAAGGGTCAAGTTTAGCCTATATAGTTGGGAATTTGGGGCCCGCGATGGCGTGAATATATCGAGAAATGGCCCAAATGGCGTTCGAATGATGATTGCTTGTAACAAACATTATCCGCAATGTCACGAACTGTTATTAACCATTAAATATACCATTACTCGTTACTCATTACTCGACATTATTGAGCTCTATAGCAAGTGATGTTTTTGTCAACACAGACATCACCCGAAAATTGGTTTAACTAATTTTAACGGCATTTTGCATCATAGCGCTCGTGTGAGGAAGAAAAATACTTTAAAAATCTTATGTTTTGTCATATATGTGTTGAAGATCACCACTAACTGCCAAACACAGTTTTTAAGATCCTCCTCCCTTCGGCAATCTGTCGTCTGTGTTGACAAAAACGTCGCTTGCTTAAGCTCCCTAATCAGATTAACTTTACGGACTAGGACGTCTTTCACATCTTATTTATTTTGTTCAAACAAACTAAACGTGACTCGATAAGCAAACAACGAAAGTTCTGGTCTGGATATGGCTGTGATATTCATTGTTCATCCCATTAACGATGATATAGCATGTACATTAATTTTAATTAGATGCTTCCAGTATAATCAGGTATGAATGATCGAGATTTCATATTGAATGAGGAGCGCCCAATATGGACCGCAATCTAGGTTGAAATGCCGGTATATGGTTGTGATCTTATGATCCAGGAACTAAGTAAGGAAGGAACTAGTAGTCTAGTAAGGGAAGGGAGTAACGAATTCTGACTTGCAATTCGTACGCGTTCAGGATATAGATCCTTATCTCAAACACGAACTGTCATACTTATAGCATAGCTGTGTGCACTGTATCAAGCTTGCTGCGTTGGTCTTTTGTCTAAGCCCATCAGTCTTCTCTCGACCATTTGAGAAGCAATCTCGCGGAATATTTTGTCCGTATTTATACCCATTAACGCTGAGGTGACAACAAAGCAACATTTCTTTTCTTGACTTACTTTGATTGCCTCATCAGTCGTGACAACTTGCTCTGACGATGGCTTGTCACACTTATTTCCAACAAGGTATATCGGCACACTATTCCCTCTTGCTTGTATCACTTCGTCAACTGTTTTTTTGGCTTTCTTGAACGATTCTTTGCTGTTCAGTTTATACATGACAACGAACGCCTGCCCTTCGTTAATGGCCAGGTTCCTCATAGCTGGGAATCTATCTGAACCGTCTGTATCATATATCCGAAGTAACACTGTAGTATGAAATGATTTCAAAGTATAGTGTCCATCGTATACATCTTCTAATGTAGGTTCGTGATGTTTAGGAAATGGCTTGCCAAGAAAACGTTTAATAAAGGCAGTTTTACCACAACCGCTTGTTCCTAGCACAACAACATTAACACGAAAACTTTGCTGTGTCTCCTTTCCCCTCGGTTTTAGAGGTTCTGCTTGACATTGAACAAATCTCGCCAGGTTTTTAAAGTTGATCTTCTGCTTTTCCATAACCTCTGTTATGTAGTGCATATTAATTTGTTCTGACTCCACAACAATTCTCCGCTTCTCAGCTTGTGTTCGTTTGTTTGAATGAATGTTATGAAATGTTGTTACTATTTTCACCATATTTATGCAAGAGCGTTAGAAACCACAGGAAATCATTAAGATTCCACATAAGTACCCGTCCATAACGGAGGTATGTCACACATTTTTTTGAAACGCTGAAACTAGCCCGTTCTCAAGTGCTCGGCAACGATCAACAGGAAATTGATTTTAATTGCTAAAAAATTAGTGTAAGGAAATCATGAGTCATGAGTGAAAACCTGTATTATGAGTATATTTTATATGATGTAATATATGACAGGTGATATAGAAAGTGTCCTATGGATAAGAAAGTGGGTGAATTATCTAAATATTACGAGAGAAATACACTGAATAGTGAATATATCAGTGCTAGCAGGTGATTATGGGCGGGCATGATACGTCATCAGACACGAGATCATTGCCACAGTCTGCACAGACAATCCGGATCCGCAGTATGAATTTCAAAAGTACCAGTTAATAGTGAGTCAAATATGAAATTTTAATTAGCTAACGATCCTATTTTGTGGAACCTACACTATGTAGTAAAAGCTATATCCGAGAGCTGTATATCTAGATACTAATACCGATTACCGATGCACAGGATGTATATAAATCATAAATGCAAGTGACCACTTCTAGTTTTATATTGATTTTACAGGAGCATTTTTGTTGTTATAAAGGTTTTTGTTTTGGCATTAAGGTCATACACACCGGACGCGATTGGACAACGCGACGCGATTTTTCGATTTTCACTGAATGATAAGAAGCGCTATAAAATTTTGAGTTATTTGCCAATTTGGTCTACATATCTTTTAAAATTTGCTCTCATTCATCGCTGTTTTATAAACTTTCAAAAACTAAAAAATCGCGTCGCGTTGTCGAATTGCGTCCGGTGTGTCTGGACCTTTATTAGTATATTGCCTAGCGATTATGCTTTAAAATGCCCATATACTCTATATACATATTGATTTTCTATGTACTGATTTGCTTTCTGAACATACCACTGGCGGGCACTGCGATTATAATCGTGGATTCTCGCAGCTTCTCGCCGACACTTTCCGTCTTAATTATTTTTACATGTTAAACCTGTTATTTGTTTCATGTCTATACACTTATTTGATTTATGATTGCACTGAGACCTTCTACCACATGTAGCTAATGCAATAAAATTACAATACATTACAAAACAAGGCAAATAATTTAAAGTGTAGGCCGGGCATAAATAAATATTACAAACTACACTGTGAACTGGTAGCTGTATATGTGACCGTCACTGGCCAGATAAGCATGCCGTAAGATTTCAAATATAGTAACTGAGGTCATATTTTAATAATATCTATATAATGGTGTAATGTACATGAAATGAATGGAATCGGGAATTAAATGATGCAATTTCCTTCCTCAAAATTTACTTTTCTAGAATGCATGCGGTGCCGCCTCCGCCTCTTGTGTTTTGTTTCCTGGCGAGATCGCAGCACGCTCCAAAGGACAATGCACGACTGGATAATTGTTTGAATTTTACAAAGTCAAAGGTCCATACCAAATATAACCCGCAGTGGCTTGAAATGTTCTAGAAACGCTAATATCACCCATGTTACGGAGTAAATACAACGTTTCTCTGATTTCCATGTTATTCTGTAGAGTTCTGGACTTCTGGTAGTCATACAATGATAATTATTATATATAGAATGCTATGAATATGGTTTTATACTATGTATTGTCCATTGACGTCGTATAAGTTAACTGTTTGGTTACTTATTTCTAGTTGCCGTTTGGTATGGTATGGTATGGTATGGTATTAAGATGTTAGGGTTTGTAATCCAAGTGAGTATACTGATATACATTTTAAGACCTAACCAGGAACGACTACGAAAAATGCAGCACAAGGTCCTCTGGTAGGAATTGAACCTACGGCCCTGCGATTCCGGTGTAGCGCTCTAACCAACTGAGCTACAGAGGCCAGCTATTGAGATGTAACCGTAAGTTCATGTATATAGGTAATCGGGTGTGCGGGCTGTGATAAGGTGGACTTGAATAACTTAGATTCTTGCACTTCACTTGGTGGAATTAATATTAAGATGTTAGGGTAGACAGCAGCGTGCAAAGCATAATATGGGAGCATCATTTAATATATCAGTTTAGAAATCATATATGGGGCCCATTTCTAAGAGACATGGTAAATATCTGCTTATGATTAAGCTTTGCGCGCTTAGAGTTTAAGGTTTGCAAAGGACAACCTTTTTTGAATTGGCAGCTGTAACGGCGCCCTGACAGCAACCCAATGTATACGCGCACGTGCACGTGCTCCTAATATAAAGAAGGTCTAAAGAATCTCGGCCTATGATACTTGGTAGGTCTCCACTTGACGATCCGAAAATACAGTAATGATCGACCATGAAACTCCTCAGTAATTATATATACTGAGTGAAAATTATACTACGTGATATATAGATAGTGAGTGAATATACATGCACAGGATGTATATAATTGCAAACCACTTCTATATTTATTTTACAAGAGCTTTTTTGTTGTGATAAAGGTTTTTGTTCAGATGGTTTTGTACAATTTACTTGGAATTCAGCATTATTGCTATTACGTAGCGATTATGCCGCTTTAAAATTTAGTCTAGGACCTGTATATGAGTTTGTATGCATTTCATTTAGGACAGATAATCTCAACTGTTTTAGGGCAAGTTGACCATGACGGTCAACATGGTAACGCTGCCCGAACCCCAATCCGGGACGAAACGTCCGAAACTGACCACACCCAAAAACGACGCTTTCGCCATACTGCTATCTACCAAACCATAAAAGCTTTGGCTATTCTGAGGTGCTTACATGGTTCAGAGATGGTACTATTGGGGGTGGTCATTGGTAAGTGTGAAATGCCTAGCACTAATATTTCACAAGAAAATGGCCATGCAATAATCATAGTTAAACGTCAATTTGTGGCTTGCAAATTCAGATAAACAGCAGTGGACTTACATTACCTTTTTCCCTAAATCTTTTTGATAGAAACATAAATGGTACTTATTTAAATATATTATCACTGGTTTGGCGTAAAATAGTTAATATTTTCTAACCAAAATAATAATTTGAAATGTGCCTACCTCCTGCAAATGGACGTATTTGGCCAAGTTTTCCACTTTACTCCGCTGTTTATCGGCGATCTCGTCGATATCCTACAAAAAATGTAAATCATCTCAGACATAATGGTATCAAGAACATTTTGAACAAGTATCAACTTGGTTTCAAGTAGATCATACCTGTTTAACCATCGACAAGGTAAATCCACAACTTTGTCCAAATTCGGCGCCATTTTGTCATCCCATGTCGCTTGTTAACAATTCAGCATTATTACTCTTCCATCCAAGCCATTTCCATTCCACTAATAATAAATTTAACCCTTTATAACAGGAGGAAACTAAAAAATCTAAACAAAATATAAGAAATTCGCCATTTTATCACCCTGTAAAATTTCGCTCACGAGTCTTTCAAAACATTCCGTACAAATCTCGCGTGGTTTAGCAACAGGGACGTGACAGGGGGGTAGAGACTTGAAAAATGAAAGCCCATACGGTATGGTAAAACCAACAATCAACATTTAATTTGTATGACTTTTTCATATTAATAAATAATAAATGTATATATTTGTCACTACAAGAAATAAAACAAACATTTGCATGATTGTATTTAACTTTTAGTCTATTTCACGCGGCCTTCTTCTATCTTCGTGAAATAATTTACCCCCTCCTGTCACGTCCCTGTTACTTTGTCACGCGATATTTGTACGGAATGTTTTGAAAGACTCGTGAGCAAGATCTTACGGGGTGATAAAATGCTGCATTTCGCATATTTCATTTGTATTTTTATTTTAATACCCTTAACAAAGGGTTAAATTTTTTATTTGTGCAATGGATATGGCGTGAATGGAAGAGTAACAAGGCCGAATTGTTGACAACCGACATGGGATGACAAAATGGCGCCGAATTTGGACAAAGTTGTGGATTTACCTTGTTGATGGTTAAACAGGTATGATCTACTTGAAACCAAGTTGAAACTTGTTTAAAATGTTTTTGATACCATTATGTCTGAGATGATTTACATTTTTTGTAGGATGTCGACGAGATCGCCGATAAACAGCGGAGTAAAGTGGAGAACTTGGCCAAATACGCCATTTGCAGGAGGTAGGCACATTTCAAATTATTATTTCGGTCAGAAAATATTAACTATTTTACACCAAATCAGTGATAATATATTTAAATAAGTACCAATTATGTTTCTATCAAAAAGATTTAGGGAAAAAGGTAATGTAAGTCCACTGCTGTTTATCTTAAGTTGCAAGCCACAAATTGACGTTTAACTATGATTATTGCATGGTCATTTTCTTGTGAAATATTAGTGCTAGGCATTTCACACTTACCAATGACCACCCCGGAAAGTACCATCTCTGAACCATATAAGCACTTCAGAATAGCCAAAGCTTTTATGGTTTGGTAGATAGCAGTATGGCGAAAGCGTCGTTTTTGGGTGTGGTCAGTTTCGGACGTTTCGTCCCGGATTGGGGTTCGGGCAGCGTTACCATGTTGACCGTCATGGTCAGCTTGCCCTAAAACAGTTGAGATTATCTGTCCTAAATGAAATGCATACAAACTCATATACAGGTCCTAGACTATATTGCATAAAGCTTGTTGGCGAGCCAATTAAGCGATTAGCGATAACGCGTTGGCGATAACACCTAAACACGTTGGCTATCTCCTCGTCTTTCTTATTTATACAAGGAGCTCTGACTCAACTGATTCCTTTAGTCTCGTAAGTTTTTTTCTTCGTAAACGCCGTACAAACGTTTACCCGCTTCTGTTTAATAGTTGTTTATGCTTTATTGATCTGATACAAATCTGATGCAATTTTTCGCTCTTTGACTTTGTACTGAGTATAGCCATCTATTCTGTGATGTAGCACCTTATACAGTCAATGAGAATGTATGATATAACATCAATTTATATATTGTATTACTATTATTGCGTAGAATCTCAAAGATTTTGTCAATATTCATGTCTGAAATGTTTATATACTTGAAAACAACACTGTCTCGCTTCTGCCTGCACGTACTGTACCTCTGTATAATGAGTATGCCGTGAAAAAATATCGGCACTCAAT